GGTGTGTGAAATGAGCACAACCGTCTGATAACTTGAACATCCCTTCTTTAAGACTGGGACGTAAACTGATCCCTTCCAATCCAGTGGCCACTACTGAGTTTTCTAGATTTGCTGGCACATTGAGTGCAGCACTTCACCAGCATCATCTTTTAGGGTTTTAAATAGCTCAGCTGGGATACTGTAAGCAAACTGGGAGAGCAAGGAATAGTTTACCTGTCAGATCTATGGAGAACAGAAGAATTCATGACCAAACAGGAGATAGAGAGCATTACAAAAAGCAAAATGGATAACTTTTGACTACATTAAATTGAAAAGTTTTTGCACAAACAAAGCCAATGCAACTAAGATTAGAAGAAAGGTAGAAAATTGGGAAAGAATTTTTACAATCAGTCTCTCTGATAAGGGCCCCATTTCTAAAATATATAGAGAATTAAGTCAAATTTATAAGAATACAAGTCATTCCCCAATTGATAAATGGTCAAAGAATATGAAAAGGCAGTTCTCAGATGAGGAAGTTAAAGCCATCTACAGTCATATGAAAAAATGCTCTAAATCACTATTGATTAGAGAAATGCAAATCAAAACAATTCCGAGGTACCACATCACACCTATCAGATTGGCCAAGATAACAAAACAAGAAAATGATAAATGTTGGAGAAGATGTGAGAAAAATGGAACACTAATGCATTGTTGGTGGAGTTGTGAAATGATCCAACCATTTTGGAGAGCAATTTGGAACTATGCCCAAAGGGCTATAAAAATTTGCATACCCTTTGACCCAGCAATAGCATTTCTAGGGCTATATCGCAAAGAGATATACAAATGGGAAAAGGACCCACATGTACAAAAATATTTATAGCAGTTCTTTTTGTGGTGGCCAAGAATTGGAAATTGAGGGGATGCCCATCAACTGGGGAATGACTGAACAAGTTGTGGTATATGAATGTAATGGAATACTACTGTGCTGTAAAAAATGACGAACAGGCTGACTTCAGAAAAACCTGGAAAGACCTGTATGGGCTGATGCTGAGTGAAGTGAGCAGAACCAGGAGAACGTTGTACACAGTAACAGCCACACTGAGCGATAATTTATTGATAGACTTAACCCTTTTCAGCAATACAAGCAATATAATACAAGGATCTAAGACATCTCCAAAAGCCTCATGATGGAAAATGCTATCTACATCCAAAGAAAGAACTATAGAGTTTGAATGCAGATAGAAGCATACTATTTGCTATTTTTTTTCTTTTGTTGTGTTTTGTTTCCTCTTTCTGGTGGTTCCTTCTATAGGTTCTAATTCTTATTTACAGCATCACTCATGTGAGAATATGTTTAATAGGAATGTATATGTATAGCCAATATCAGATTGTGTGCCATCTTGGGGAGGGTGGTGGAAAGGAAGGGGAAGAAAAATTTTAAACTCAAAAGCATTTGGAAGTGATTGTTGATAAATCAAAATAAACTAATTTAAAAAAAAAAAAGACTTATATGCAAAGTGAACTGAACAGAACCAGGAGAACATTGCACACAGTAACAGCAATACTGTGTGATGATCAACTGTGAATGACTTAGCTATTCTCAGCAATGCAATGATCCAAGACAATCCCAAAGGACACATGATGAAGCATGCTATCTGCCTCCAGAGAAACAACAGATTGAAACATGCTATTTTTCACTTTCTTTTTCTTTCTTCCTTTCTCTTACTCTTCTTTCATTTGAGTCTTCTTGTACAAAATGACTAATATGGAAATGTTCTACATGATTGTACATGTATAACCCATATTATTAGATTGCTTACCACCTCAAAGAGGGGGAGAGGGGAAGAAAGGGATAGAATTTGGAACTTAAAACTCTTTTTTAAATGTTAAAAAACTGTTTTAATAACATGAAATTGGGGGGAAATAAGATACTAAAAAATTAATATATATATGAATAATAAATGAATGAATGAATGAATAAACACCTCAGCTGGAATTCCATCTTCCCCACTGGCCCACTTGACTTCACTCTCCAGGATGCCTGGCTCTAGATCAGTAACCATATCACCATGGTTACTGGTATGTTAAGATCTTTCTTCCTTTTTTCTTTTGTGTATTCTTGCCACCTCTTCTTAATCTTTTCTGCTTCTGTTAAATCCCTACCATTTTTGTCTTTTATTATGCCCATTTTTATATGAAACTTTGCCTTGGTAGCTCTAATTTTCTTGAAGAGATCTCTTGCCTTTCCCATTCTATTGTTTTCTTCCATTTCTTTGCACTGCTCATTCAAGAAAACCTTCTTATCTCTCCTTATTAGTCTCTTGGATTCTGCATTTAGCTGGCTCTATCTTTCCCTTTCACTTTCCTCCTTTCCTCAGCTATTTGTAAAGCCTCATCAGACAGCCATTTTACTTTCTTGCTTTTCTTTTTCTTTGGAATTTTTTGTTGCTGCCTCTTGTGCAATATTGCAAACCTCTGCCCGTAGTTCTTCAGGCATTCTAGCTACCAGATCTGAGCTCTTAAGTCTATCCATCACTTCCACTTCATATTCATAAGAGATGTTATTTAAGTCATACCTATGTGGTTTGATGGTTTTCCCTCCTTTCTTCAATTTAATCTGAATTTTGCAGTAAAAAGTTCATGATCTGAGCCACAGTCAGCTCCAGGTATTGTTTTAACCGTATAAAGCTTCTCCACCTTTGGCTATAAAGCATATATTTAATCTGATTTCTATACTGACCATCTGGTGATGTTCACACGTACAGTCACCTTTTAGGTTGTTGAAAATGAGTTACCTTGACAAAACTCTATTAGCCTCTGCCCTGCTTCACTTCTGTGCTCCAAGGCCAAACCTGCCTGTTATTCCAATCATCTTTTGATTTCCTATTTTAGCATTCCAGTTCCCGAAGATGAACGTAACATCTTTGGTGTTATTTCTAGAAGACGTTGTCGTTCTTCATAGAAGTGATCAACTTGGGCCTCTTCAGCATCAGTGGTTGGAGCATAGACTTGTAGAAATTAAGTGTAGACTAACATATTACAAAATATACCACACACACACAAAAACCCACAAATGTGAACTACCAAAGATCACACAATAAAAAAACTGAAATAGAAATTGTCACAGCTGTAAATAAGGGAAAGCTTCTTAACATGAGACAGAGGGGATCACAGAGGACAAAACAGATACTTTAAATTGAATGAAATAAAAAAATCTTACCCATCAATAAAATCAGAGCACCTCAGGTCCAAAATACATAAATAACAAAAGAAATAAGACAAAGTCCCGCCCCATCATTTTCTGGGCCCCAATTGATTAGTGGTCAAAGGATGTGAACAAACAGTCTCCAAAAGAACTGCAAACTATGAAAACTATAGGAGAGAATGCTCCAAATCATTTAGAAGAAATAGAGAAATGCTGATCTTTCATCACACACTCAGCAAACTGGCAAAGATAACAAAAAACAGAACTACTCGAAAGTTTCAGAAGTATTAAAAAGACAGGCACACTAATCTGCCATGAGTTGAAACGTAAACTGGTCTAATCATTTTGGAAAATAATTAAGAATTATGCTTTTAAAAAGTAACTAAAGTGCTCAGAGTCTCTGACCAAGATACGCCACTGCCAGACATACACCCCATAGGTCAGAGAGAGAAGGAAAGGCCCCACTTACACTATAGTCACAGCAACATTTTTGTGGCAGAAGACTGGGAAGCAAACTGAGGAGGGATTGTGGCTTATGAGCATAACCCTATCACTGCCTGGCAAGAAATCACAACTGTGACGCCTGCAGAAGCATGGGAAGATCTCCGTGCACTGCTGCAACGTGAAGAAGGACCAGAAAATCAGGTAGACGATGAACACAGCACGATCAAGAGAGAGAAGTGATTAACAAGAGAAGACGGGACGCTGGGAAGAGACAGCCAAGTTCATCCCGGAGAACTGACGTGAGAGGACACTCCACCCTGACTTCTTGGCAAAGGTGGGGGACCGTGGCGAGGAGACACTCCAAAGAATGCCAGGTTTTTTCATGGCATCGGTCATTTTTCCTGAATTTTTATTTCTCTTTCTATTCCTTATTAAAAGAGATGGCTTTCTGGGAAAGTGGGGGATAGATACCTCAAGAAACATAGGTATGATAAAAACAAAAAGATGAACAAAATTTATTTTAAAAAATAAGATGTTTTAAACAGGTAGCATCTATGTCCTTTACTGATTGTATTCTTTAGTCCTTTTCTTTCTTCAGATTTTGTTGCTATTCTTAAAACATAGCCTTAGTGTTTATATTAAGAACCCCTCATTTAAAAAAAAAAGTTCAGAGGAACCCTTGCAGTAGAATCTTTCAAATTATTTTTTAAATGTTTGCTCTAAATGGTACCAAACAATGTCAAGCCATTTCCTAGTTCTTACTTCCAAATCAATTGTATTCTGACTTTTGACTGTGACCATTTCTATGGGAGCAGTTAACAGGCATTGATTAAATCCCTTCATGGACCTGGCACTGTGCTAGTTCTCCTTATAAGATTGGCTAGTCATGTCTGGGGCTTCGGGGAACAGGAACCAAGCTCTGCACTAGGCCTGACCCGACCTAACAGACCAGCTCATCACACTGGCAGCATACAAGCAGACGGGCCTGTTCCAAGCGCCCACCCAACAGCTCTAGACCTCACCAGTGGCCTACAGCTGGTCCAGGCCGTCCGGTTTTACCTGGCAGAGTCAGCAGGGGGAGCAATCTTCTTTGGGGTCTAAGGTCCCATTCATGGATATGCCCTCCCAGTAGCCAGCTCTCCACGCAGGCCCTGCAGCCTTTCAGGCACCAAGGGGACCAGGCTAACTCACTTCTAGGAAAGCAAGCATCATTTCTCCTCTGGTTTACATGCACCAGTATTGGGGGAGTAGTTCTTTTGTCACATTTTTGCTTTAAAAATGTGTAGTTTGTCTCAGGAAGCCCGTTGCGACCTTGCTGGACGCAGGAGGGCATCTTAAAAGGCAGCCTGGATGCAAAGGTGGGGGTGCCTACCGTCGCCGTCGGGATCGACCGCCCTGAAGTGCATCTTGTTTTCTTTGACAGCTTCCTGAAAGTGCTCCTCCGTCTTCTCCATGATCCAACGCTGCATTTCTTTGGCACTGATCCTTTTGTCATTATTAACATCCACCCTGCAAAGATGCACCAGAGTCAGGCACTAGAGAAGAGCACGACAGCGTAACTAAGGTTAGCGGGCGAGAGAAGAGGGCCATGCTACCGATCCTTAGGAGGAAGCAGCCTCACAGACACCCAGAGTCCATGCCCCTCCTTCTACAGGCGAGGAAACAAAGGACCCCCGAAAGGAGGGAAGGGCCCCAGACCACAGGGCAGAATGGCTGTCTGCGGCCTGGGGATGACCGGGCAGTGACGACGACGATGGTGACAGATGATGCTAGGACCTAGGCACCGAGGCCAGGATCTGGTGACACTGCTCTACCCACACACGTGTCTACACCACTCAGGCAAAGGAGACAGAGATACAAGTAAAGAAAATGGAGGCCAAGGGCCCCACAAGGCTCAGAGCACTAGAGAAAGGCCCAGCACCACTACTGATGCTACAAGGAGCTGAGAAAAATCAGGATCCTCAAGGCCCAAGGGCTGACTCCCTGGGAGGAGCCAGGACATGCTGCTCCTCCACCCCCCTTCTCTGCCCTCACAGCGACCTCTAGGCCCCTGCCCCTTATCCTGGCACACAGAGGGCTTTGCCAAGTCCTACCTAGGTCTTGGTCTTATTAGATTTTGTCGCCACTGGATTGCAACTCTGATTCACACTGAAGTCCACAAAGACTACTACGATCTTCTCTGGACAAACTGCTCCCTAACTACACCTCCCCAAGTTGATACTCATCAACGGGATTTTTACATTTTACCTGTACTCTTATTAAACGTCACCTTCTTAGGTTTGGTTCAACCTTTCCAATCTTTCAGCCTGCTGAGGTATTTTTGGATCATGACCGTCATTCACTGTGTTCACTACATCTCTCTCTTAATGTCATCTGAAAACTGGAAAATCACACCATCTGTGCCTTGGTTCTAGTCCTGGAGAAAAATGGGGAACGAGAGAGATACAGGAAAAGCCCCCTGGAGTGCTTTGCTGGAGGCCTTTCAATCTGATAATAGCCAGAAGCAAATGAATGAAAAAGCACTGCCCCAAAGTACACCAAGTGCTGGGGGTACAAATGCGAAAGGGAAGCCAACTGCAGCTCACAGTCTAACAGAGGCAAAATATACAGGGGAACAAGGGCCGGGGGCTGCTTTACTTAGGAAAGGAGCAGGGGTGGTAAATGGGGTCGGGGGAGAAGAGCTCATCAATTGACCTGATTGATGCAATCAAGTGATCCAAACAATAAACAATCAATTAGCAGGCATTTACTAATTTTCTACTGTCTACCTACTGTGACAGTGGGCAAGTTGCTCACCAGTGTAAGCCTTGTGCCTCCGTTTCCTCAGCTGTAAAATGACGACACTTGGCTAGCCAGCCTCTGGTACCTTTTCCCTGCAGGACAAGGATGCCGCGACCTGCCCAGCGACGTGCCAACCCCAGAGGACACAAACACTCAATATGAAACAGTCCCTACTGTAAGGAGGTCCAGACCCCAGAGGCAGGGACAAGCCCCCACGTCAGGAGACAAGACCAACACAAGGTGCTGCAGTTTAGAAAAGGCCGAAGGAGCCAGAGGAACAGGAAAGGCTTCCTGCAGAAACTGGCGCTGGAGCGACGCCTTGAAGGAAGAGAGCACTGTAAGCAGCAGTGGGGAGGCGGGCACACGCCAAGCACGGACATGAGATGACAGGGGACAAGAGGCACGTCAGACCACCTTGCAATTGTCTAAGAAACACGTGCTGGCTGACCAACCAGAAAGAACCCAGGAGGAGAGAGATGAAGGGAGCAGCGTCAGATGCATGGGGAGGTCGGCAAGGGGAGACCACCAGCCACGACAATGAGGAAACCACAGGACCTTCAGTGGGGGAGCTTCACTTGAGGGATGAGTCAGGCTGCGCAGGGTGGGGAGGCAGTGGGCGGTGGCTGAATCTCCAGGAAAGACCACTTTCTCTGTGAGTCGGAGAGGACAGCTAGAGGGGGCGGAGGCCAGTCTTTTGAGGGCTGAGGGAGCGGCTGTATTTCAATGCAACAGAAAAGGAAGCCCTGCAGAGAGAGAAGCTGAAGATTAAAGAGACAAGGGGATAGTTTGGGGTAAGCTGCGAGAGAAGAGGCGTGTGCCCTGGGAAGGCACAAGAGAAGGGCCTGTGCAGAGAGGCTGGCCACCTCACACTCGGGTCATCACAAGCACAAAGGGAGACCGAAGAGGCCCAAGGAGAGAAGATCTGGATGGCTTCTGAGGGCTGAGCTGGGAAGTGCCAGAAGGCCTGCCCACCCAGGATTCTAGAGTCCCCAGGCAGCCTGACTGCACTTTGTCTAAATACTATCTACCCTGGTGACACCCACGTGACTTCAAAATAAGGTTTTTAGTGCTCACTTAACAAACACACTTCCACACACAAGGCAGAACTGAAAACGATTAGTAACGTCTAGACTGCGGCTCTCCCGAGACCGAGCGAACTTTTCTTTTCAGGTAGAGGAGACGCTCAAGCTGTAGCTTTCAAAGCGTTCCTTCTGTTCTGCTCTCAGAGATTCTCCTTTTCTTGATGCTGCCCCATCCCTTCCCTTACCCTCCCCACCCCTCCCCCACTGGAGAAAGAAGGAACAAAGCCCTTGGAATAAAAATGCAACAGTCGGGCAAAACCAAGTCCCACCCCGGCTGCGTGTGGTTCTGTGTCTCCAGTCCACTGGAGGCGGCTCACCCAACATTCCAAGGGGCAAGGAGGGGCTCTGAGCAAGGGTACTCAAAGGGGCATGTGGGGGCTGGGAGAGCGAGCAGGAAAGAGAAGGCAGCCATCCACTCGGAATGCTGACTCCCAGCGGCCAGATGGAAGGGGGAGCAGAGTAGCATGCTCTTTTCTGGATTTAATGATGGTTCCAGAACTAGAAGTCAAGCAACTTGGGGAGGAGCGAAGGGATGGGGAGATAAGTGAGCCTGCCTGGGGCCTGTCCAGATAGGGGGTGCAAGGTGAGAACCACATGAAAGTCTGTTAAATGCTGGTTCAAATTGAGGTAAACTATACAGACAGCATCCTATTGACCTACTAATCTAGGAACCTAGGCAAAAAAAGGAAACGTGGTTAGTGTGACAGGACCTATCCATGATCCGGCCACAATGACCAGCAATCGCTACCTTCTCTAGATTTTTACTAACCATCCCTTTAATATACAATCTAGAATGTGGCCAGGAATCAAAGTCAAATTCATTGGCCTACCCTCTGCAGATATCCCTCTCCTCTCTTATGTGAAAATCAGCACAGCCTTTGTCTTCTGGTCCCAGTGCATCAGCTGGGATCCACAAGCCTTCAGAGACCACTGACAATGGCTCCCCACTCCCATGTGGTCATTCAGCACCCAGGATGCAGTTCATGGAGGCCTCTTCAGGACAGCTATGGGGTCCTCTCTCCTCCCTGCTTAGAAGCAGTTTCAACTCTCTATTAGCTATGTTCATTCTTTAGAGGATTACACCTTACCGGGTGAGATGATCAAAATGGTGTTTCTGAGTAAATAAAACGGAGTACCAGAGCCTTGGGCTGTAACGTCACCAAGATAAAGTCAACCTTTGATGCTCAAACTAACTGAGCAAGCCAAAACTAATTCTAAGACCATAACTGTTTCTACTCTCAAATGATGGCAGAAAGTGAGGGGATTTCTTCAGCAATATCTCTGGTTCTATTCTAAAAGTCACATTACCCCTAAAAAATTCCAAGAGTAACCACATATGACTGTAATGAATAAAGTTAAAATGTCAGCAGATAGTAGATCAGAACAATGTAAATCAATAAGCAGGCCTGTCCCTAGATGGAAATACCATGGAAGACTTGTGGGGACAGCCACATTTGTAGCTCTTTTCTTTTTCTCAAATTGTATTAACTTGCCTGTGTTTAATGTCACACACACACAGGGCTGCAAGTTATCTGATGCCTTAAAATTAAACAGTGTAAAACTACCTTCATTGCATTGACAGGGAACCACCTGGAATTTATTAGTTGATTCAATTTCCATAAAACTGCATTCTTTTTCCCTATTTTAATCCTGACTATGGCATTAGAGGAATAAGAAAAGGAAAAAGGGAGTGGACCTGTGATTTCATTGGTTTAGTATTGGTACAGCTGACATAGTGGATTGGGCACTGGGCCTAGACTAAGGGAAGATTCAAGTTCAAATCCAGCTTGAGATACTTCCTAGCCGTATGACCCTGGACAAGTCACTTAACCTGTCTGTCAGGGTTTGCTCATTTGTAAAATGGAAATAATAACAGCCCCTCCCTCTCAGGGTTGTAGTGAGTATCAAATGGATGACAAATGAAAAACTCTGCTCCTAAAATGACAGCTATTATTATTATTATAAGGGATCCCCCTAGCAACGCAGGTTGGTACTTTCCAATGTACACATTCTTAAGAGAAATTCTCTTAACAGTGAGATAAGTGACTTGTCCAGGGTCACACAGCCAGCATGGATCAAAGGAGGAACTTGTGCCCAGGTCGTCCTGCCTTCCAGTTGTCTCTGGGGCCACAATGCTGTGCTCACGCTTAATGAGAACACATTCAGTGAAAGGTTTCTAAATAAATCCTATCTCTAACTAGAGCAGACCAAGAGTCTCCTTAGTAATTTAAGGCAACAGAGAAATAGCACCGGGCAATGTTCACATCCTCCTTCCACCAAACTCACCAACCCCACTCAACCACAACAACTTTGGGTACAGACCAAACTCAACACCATTTTAAAGACGTTTTCACACAGACCCAGCAGGTAACACACCTTCTTGGGTTAGCTTTGCAGCAATGTGCCACACAGGGAGGCAACCTAGGAAGGCCACGAAGCCTTGCCTGGCCTCTCTAGTTAGTCAAGGCAGGGGGAACGGGCCCTCTGCTGGTTTCTGACAGGAGAGTCTGGGGGTGAGGACACTGGGCACGTTATACTATCTACCCAACTCACTTGGATTTTATAAGAAGTTTCAATCTGTACTTTGGATAGTCTGAGACATTTTGAGCTCTGCTAAGGACCAGACATAAAACCCCACCAACAAGT